GGGGGTCCTACGGAGGCCTGGCGGGTCGCAGCTGAGGCGCCGGGCCTGGGGGTATTGTCCCCTGTCCCACCCCCGCCCAGGCAGCACCCATGTCCCCGCGGTCGTGGGGACGATGCTGTTCTCCCTGCGGGAGCTGGTGCAGTGGTTGGGCTTCGCCACCTTCGAGATCTTCCTGCACGGCCTGGCCCTGCTGACCTTCTCGGTGCTGCTCGTCCTGAAGGTGGACGGCGAGGCCTCGGCGCTCTCCTGGTGGGTCGTCTTCGTCCCCTTCTTTGCCGCCGACGGTCTCAGCACCTACTTCACCACCATCGTCTCGGTGCGGCTCTTCCAGGACGGTGAGAAGCGCCTGGCCGTGCTGCGGCTCTTCTGGATCCTTTTTATCCTCACCATCCTCAGCCTCAAGTTCGTCTTCGAGATGCTGCTGTGCCAGAAGCTGGTGGAGCACACCCGGGAGCTCTGGTACGGGCTCATCATGTCGCCTGTCTTCATCCTCCTCCAGCTGCTTATGATCCGAGCCTGCCGGGTGAACTGATGGTGAGGGAGCGGGCAGCCCTCGTGCCTCCCCGGACGCGCGTGGCTCCCCGGGGAGCCCTGGACTTGTAGCGCTGGTCATCGGGCTGTTCCCCATGTGTGGGAGTGGTAGGCGGCAGGTTACAAGGCCTGGTTCAGTGAGAGGAAGGGTCTGTAGGTAAGCATGCTGCAGTGTTGTAGAGCATCGTGTTTCCTCAAAAGATCCTTTTGTGCCGCATCCTCATTTCAGTTCACTCAGCTCTTGCTGTTAAAGTGTGCTGCCAGGCAAGCGCCGTTGGATATGCCAGTTATTTTATGTTAAAATAAAAATGCATGGAAGGAATCTTTTTATGTATAAAATAATTTTTCCCTAGAAAACATTTGTACTTAAAACTGTCTGGATAATGGGAATTGCCTGGAGGTTTGTTGGTTGCAGTAGATAATCCTGGTACACCGCGCACCGCTGCCAGCCAGAAGCACCACAGCTGCTGTTCGCCTGCCCTGCCCTCGTGAGGCCACGCATGTAACGATGCCTGCAGCAAAGCTGCTTTATTTCCCTCTGTCCTGTCACTTCCCTGATCACTTCATACCTTCAGTGCGCTGGCAGGGTTTTATGAGGCTGCACCCTGAGCCAGAGAGAGATGATGTGTGTGGTTTTGAACAGACAAGTGGGGTTTTTTCTTTGTATTTCAGATCTGTTCTCTAAATATCGAGATAGGCATGTTGGGGGGGGGTGAGGCATGGGGACTGGAGTGTGCACAGCAGATGCTGGTTGTGACAGCGGAGTCGGGTCTCACTGAACCCCAGCTTTGGTGTGAAACGCTGTCCTCGGACCCCCAGAAAACATGAGTAGTTCAGTATTCCTCAGGGAAGTGCAGATCAGCATGTTAAATGTTGATGTCAGGGAACTCCCAGCACCAATGACACCTCAGCATCACTTGTGTCTGGCTCCACCCTAAGGGTGTTGAGAACAGTGGATCAGTCCCTCGCAGAGACATGGAGTGTTGCTTTGGAGCCCAGGCCCAGAGGACTGGTTTCTCTGATTCCGAGTTCTACAGACCCTTGTACTCTCTTGATGATGTTGACTGGCAGAACATTGGTACCCAGGGCTTCCCCTCCAGCCTCAGCTGCTACCTGGCCCATCCCTGTCTTCGCCCCATCTCTCCAGCTCCTGGCACCACCTGCTCTCCTCTACGGCTCTCAGGCTCTGTTTCATGCAGAGGCAGCTGCTGGGTCATCCTGGCTGTCACGGAACAGCGATGGGAGAACTAGATCCTGGTCTGGCAGGATCCATAAGCTGACACAGATTTAGCCCAAACTGGGCCATACTGGGGCTTAGTCCCTGGTGTGTGGTGTGACCAGCTCCCCACCAGCCTCTGTTCAGGTGGCACCTGGTTCCAGCTCTGGCTTCATGTCCCCAGTGACTTGTCCTGGGCTGGCGCCAGGGTCGTGTGCTGGAAGTCCATTTTACACACCCTTAGGTGGCACTGGGACCTGCCTCACAGGAGCTCCTCTGCTTCTACTTCACCCTGTGATGTGGTTTCCAGGGCTCAGTGTCACCAGGCCATGATGTCCCTACATGCTAGTCTGGTCGGTCCGCTTGCAGCCAGCCATTTGTTCACCAAGGCCAAGGACCAGCAAACCAAGGACACGTCACATGGGAGGAGGGCAGCCGGCGGCTCCTTGTCTTCTTCCAACTCTGGCAGCGGGAGTTCATTTCTGCTCCGTGCTGTGGTTGTGCCCACAACTGCACTTGGAGCGCACAGGCCATGGATGCTGCATCACCTGCAGCCAGAGTCACTTGTGTAGGGCCGGGAGGGTGAGGGCTGGGCTAAGGGACAATGGGGGCGAGAGGAGGGGAGCTGGGGCAGTGTGGGGAGACAGCCAGTGTCTGCTGATGGGCATGAAGGACTGGAGCAACAGAGGAGGGAGGACATGGTCGGTGAAGGTGGAGAGGAGCAGCAAACAAAACCTCTGAGTCAGGAGGTGACACTCACTGAGTTGCCCTGGGGACTGATCAGTGCCTTTGGACTCTTCCACAGCTCCCCAGCCAGCTGGTTAATTAAACCAAAGAAGGGGCAAACCAAAAGCCAGAAAAAGATCAAACAAATGAACGCATCCTTCAGCCTCGCTGTGACACGGCAGAGGAACAGAGCCGTTTCCTGCTGCTGAGCCCCGGCGGGGCTTGTCTGGACTGTCAGCCCCAACCTAGCAAACAGCCATGTCACTGGGGCGTGGTGCTCGACGCAGGGGGACGATGCCACATCCACCCGAGTGCCGCCAGGCTCACCTGCAAGCAGCTTTTCCAGCATTTTCCAGCTGCCTTAGGGAAGAGCCAGCAACCGGCGTTTCCCAGCTCTGCTCCTTCCAGGTAAGGCAAGCTCCCAGGTGCCTTGGGGGACAGGGGGTGCTGCCCTGAAGGGAGTGTGGGGGCTGCCTGCATGGCTGGGGGTGGTAGGGGGTTCCCGCAGCCAGGACCAGCCACATCCCTTCCTGGGATTGGCTCCTCATGTAAAGGAGTCACCCACTGTGGCCAGGGCCACCAAGTCCTGCAACAAAACTTCCTGGGGCCATCGCCCTCATGCCCCAGCAGCACAATGCTGTGGCCAGGCAATGCAGACCGACTGTGAAAGCTGCTCCCATCCTTCTGAGAGTATCCCCCCAGTGAAATCATGCTGGACCCTCCACCAGCTGACACAGCTTGAGGGGACAGCCCATGACACCCGTTCCTTGCCCAGCACAAGCCATGAGGCCCGGGAGGCTGCCTGGCTTGTGGGGGAAGGCTCCTCAAGTCTTGGGCCAACAGACTTACACACTGGAATACACTCTGGCAAAGATAAAAATCTCACCCCTGGGTTTATTTTTGTTGCTGTGGCGTGTGAGTTGGATATCTCTGCCAGCTGGGCCTTTCCCAAACCCAGCTGTGGCTCCTCAACTAAAAACATGCATTATGGAAATGCCCCAACTTGCTCCTGTCCCAGAGGTCTGGCCTGGCAGTTGTGCTGGGGGAGCAGCACAGCCTGATGGTGCCCCAGCCCCACAACCCTCTGAACCAGTGGGATCAGTGGGGAAGGAGCCTCTGCACAGCCTGGCCTGGGTGCCAAACCAGCATCACCCTGACAGAGGGGAGGGTACCAGCCCTAGGCTGTCACCCTACACCGTGTGTCCCAGCTCCTGCTGGGGCAGGAGCAGCTTTTGGAAAGACATCTGGAATTGGGGATGGCTATGCTGGAGGGAGATGGAGCTGGTGCCATTGTGTCCATATGGAATCTCCAGAGCCAAGCCAGGCCTGGGACAGTTTGGGTGGGCTTCATGCATGGGGAGGACAAGGGTCTGGCATGACCTGAGCATGAGGAGGACAAGGGTCTGGCATGAGGACTCCTAAAGGAGACAGCTGGGAGTGGATGGTCCCAGGGACCTCCATCTCTACCTGCATCTTGATGTGGGCAGCGCCTGGGGACTATGCAACCTGCTGAGCACAGCGTTGGCTTTAGCATCCTAATGCAGTGGATGGCTCCCGGACAGGAGCTGGGAGCTGCTTTGCTGGAAGGACCCTGGGGTCATGGTTTGAGGGTGTCCTGCCTTGCCCAGGGCTCCTGGGAACAGAAGCCACCATAGGAGGGCAAGGCTGTGAGAAGAGCAGCCTCCTGCGTTTGGGGGGTTGTGCGGGGGGGAGCAGGGCAGAGAGAAGGATGGTGTGGGAAAACAAGGACGTGGTTGGAGGGTGCTGTTTGTCCAGCGTGGACAAGCGGGTGCTGGGAGATGTGGAGCTACTGGACTGGGTGGCACAGTTGCTGCCACGGCTTGTCAGCTGATCCCTGGGACCTGGAGGTGGACTGTGTCTCCAGAGCGGTCCTGTCATGTGGACAATAGCTGGTAGTACCCCAAAAATAAAGCCAAGTCTTGGAAGTCCTAACTGGGAGCAGCTGCTGACCATCCACAATCTGCATGGAAGGGTAGGGGTGCAGGGGACGACGACGGGCAGTTGGGCAGCCTGTTCCTGCCTCAAATTCTCATACTGAGACTCAAAAACCTTCTAAACTGGGTAAGATGCCTCCAAATACTTCTCGAAGCAGATGCCACCCATAGTCCCATTTCAGCTGGGGGGAGGGCTGGCTTTTGCTGTGACATGATTGGCAGCTGTCACTCATTTCAGACGAGGCTTTGCAAGGTGCGGGTTGAAGTCCAGGTCCCTTCCTGCCCTGTGCTCAGGTAGTGTGCCAGCACCTCAAGCCCCCCAGCACCTCCCCAGCCACCAGCGAGAAACGGCCTAAGTTTAGTTGGGCTTTAAGGCTTTTTTAATAGCTTTAAGGCTATTTAACCATCTTAAATATCTGCACATCATCTGCTGTAAGCCCTGTGAGGGGCCTGGATGCAGAGAAAGGCAGGTTTGTCCTCGGTTGCCCCAAAACTCTGCAGAGCCTGGGTTTGTACTCTGTGAACCCTCTGTCTTACGAAGGTGCTTATCCCATGGCACCCTCTCAGCGGTGCTGGGGGCACAGGGCATGACGTGCTGCTGTCTCCCAGGGCTCCTGGCTGGAGAGAGGAAGATGTGAGTGCTGAGCAGGGACTGAAAATGCTGGGTATTTCTCCCAGCCAGGATCCAGCGATGGTGCCAAGCCCATGCAGCAGGTCTGCTGTGTGTGCTGGGCACCTGGGACTCCTGGCAGCTCCTGCCCTGGGGCTTTCTCAGATCTTTGACTCCCAGAAGGTTCAGGTTTGTGGGTGGGACAAAGACTTTGCTCAAGCATCTCCATCACCTACTCCCCATGGCTGAAACTTCAGCCTTTTGCGATGCTCTTTGCAGAGGGTTCATAATGCTGGCAGCAAGCCTGGCTGATTTATTTTTGAATCTTTCATTTTCATACACACCAGCAAAAGAGCTTAAGAAAAAAAAAAAAGCTTAAGTAAAACCAACTGTTTCTCAAAAAGAAGCTCTTAACTGGAGAGCTCCCCTCTTCCAGCTGCCTCTGGCCACTCTCACCGCCCCTTCTCCCATGCTGCCCATCCCAGATGTTGTCT